GTAATGTTGGTTAAATGTTAACTAATGACTACCTACCAGAATGCCTTAAGGCAAATGTTCAAAGGTTACATATGGTCCAAACCTAATAGTGATGAGGGTGGTGTCTCTCATCAGATAGAGGTGTTTCAGGGGAATTTCTTAGTCAAATCAGAACAAAAATGCAAGAAAAAAACGTTAGAAAAATTATAAACTATTTGTAACTGCCTTCCTTTTCAAAGAATAGAGCAATTAGCAAATAGAGAAAATGTTACTCTCTTCACTATCAAGAAGCCAGTATACAGAACATACTGGTTTCAGGCCAAGCCGGGTCATGTGAGTGATACCTGATTCCAGAAACTTCTGTGGAGATGACAGCCATGGCTCTTCCACGTCATGTAGGCTATAGGAATAGCTAGGATTCTAAAAGTAGTTCTTGAGGAGCTAAACTCTATGCTACCTACTATTTTTGAATCAAAGTGACTCACAAACCCATGGAGCTTGATTTATAAGAAGTTCTTTGAATTGGCCAGGCGTGGTGGCTCACGCTTGTAATCTCAGCACTTTGGGAGGCTGAGACAGGCAGATCACTTGAAGCCAGGAGTTTGAGATCAGCCTGGCCAACATAGTGGAACCCAATCTCTATGAAAAATATAAAAATTTGCCAGGTGTGGTGGCACACACTTGTAATCCCAGCTACTAGAGAGGCTGAGGTAGGAGAAGTGCTTGAACCTGGGAGGTAGAGGTTGCAATGAGCTGAGATCACGGCACTGCACTCCAGCCTAGGCAACAGAGCAAGCCTCTGTTTCAAAAAAGAAAAAAAAAATGTTCTTTGAATTTAGAATCAAGGGATAGGGAAAAGAAAGTCTTAAGGCTTCACCTTCTTTTTTGTTATAAACTGTTACTGTTTTCTGTTTTCTTCTTTTTTTTGAGACGGAGTTTCGCTCTTGTGACCCAGGCTGGAGTGCAATGGCGCAATCTCGGCTTACCGCAACCTCTGCCTCCTGGGTTCAGGCAATTCTCCTGCCTCAGCCTCCCGAGTAGCTGGGATTACAGGCACGCGCCACCATGCCCAGCTAATTTTTTGTATCTTTAGTAGAGACGGGGGTCTTACCATGTTGACCAAGATGGTCTCGATCTCTTGACCTCATGATCCACCCGCCTCGGCCTCCCAAAGTGCTGGGATTACAGGCGTGAGCCACCGCACCCGGCCTGTTTTCTGTTTTCTTATATCTAGGTTTCTGTTGTGAAGCTGGAGATTGAGTATTTTGGAAATGCCAAACAGTTTTGTTAATTTTAGTCAGGTACACTGTCTTTACGTTGTAGACTTCTCAGAATTACTGTTCGTATAGACAATAAATTTCAGACACACTTCATATTTATTTTTACTTATTTAGAGATGGGGTCTTGCTGTGTTATTTTTTTAATGTTGAAATTTGGGACAGTAAAGATGGGGTCATGCTCTGCTATTTTTTAATATTGAAATTTGTTAGCTAAAGCATAGAGTAAGAGAGACATAACTTTAAAAATTTATTTTTATAAAAAAATAGAGACAGGATTTTACCATGTTGCCCAGGCTGGTCTCATATGCCTGAGCTCAAGCAATCCTCCTTTGGCCTCCCAAAGTGCTGGGATTACAGGTGTGAGCCACCATGCCTGGACATTTGTTTTTTAAATAAGGAAACTCTGTAAACCGGTACAGCCATTTCAGAATCATTTTCAAAAAATTTATCCAATTTGAATTATAAAGGCTATAAAGGCTTTATATGAAGGATTGTTGAATGATACAAAGGCTATAAAAGCTTATATTCCTTTATTAAAATTTTTTTTAAATTTTCATGTTTTTTTAGAGATGGGGTTTCTCCATGTTGGCCAGGCTGGTCCTGAACTCCTGACCTCAGGTGATCCGCCCACCTCAGCCCCCCAAAGTGCTTTGGGAGGATTACAGGCGTGAGCCACTGCGCCGGGCCTCCTTTGTTTCTTAATCCTACTTCTAGGGATCTATTCCTCATGAAATAATACATGTACAAAGATATTCATACATTCATGATATTTTCTGCAATAGCATTAGTATTGTGAATACTTGGAAACAATATAATTGCCACTGTTTTAAAAAAGTTTAAATAAATTATGAAATGAAATTATGAGGTTGGGCATAGTGGTTCACACCTGTAATCCTAGCACTTTGGGAGGCCGAGGCAGGTGGATCACTTGAGGTTAGGAGTTCAAGACCAGTCCTTGCCAACATGGTGAAACCACATCTCTACTAAAAATATAAAAATCAGCCAGGCGGGATGCTGGGCGCCTGTAATCCCAGCTACTTGGGAGGCTGAGGAATGAGAATTGTTTGAATCCAGGAGGTGGAAATTGCGGTGCACCACTGCATTCCAGCCTGGGCGACAAAGTGAGAGTTTCAAGAAAAAGAAAAATACTACACTGTAGTTGAAAGAATTAAGCAGAATGTATCGTAATGAAAAAAAAATCCCGTTTTTTTTTGAGATCACACAGGCTGAAGTGCAGTGGCACGATGTTGGCCCACTGCAACCTCTGCCTACTGTGTTCAAGAGATTCTTGCGTTTCAACCTCCAGAGTAGCTGGGATTACAGGCATGAACCACCAAGCCAGACTAATTTTTTTTTTTTTTTTTTTTTGAGATGGAGTTTCACTGTTGTTACCCAGACTGGAGTGCAATGGCACAATCTCGGCTCACCACAACCTCCGCCTTCTGGGTTCAAGCAATTCTCCTGCCTCAGCCTCCCGACTAGCTGGGACTACAGGCACGCACCACCATGCCCAGCTAATTTTTGTATTTTTAGTAGAGACGGGGTTTCACCTCGTTGACCAGGATGGTCTCGATCTTGACCTCGAGATCCACCCGCCTCGGCCTCCCAAAGTGCTGGGATGAGCCACCGTGCCTGGCCAGCCAGACTAATTTTTAGTAGAGATGGGTTTCACCATGTTGGCCAGGCTGGCCTCGAACTCCCGACCTCAAGTGATCTGCCTACCTCGGCCTCCCAAAGTGCTGGGATTACAGGCGTGCCACTGCACCCCGCCATAATCCAGGATTTTTAGGTGGGGTTAAAAAAAAGAAAAATGGTAAAGGTCTAGAAGGATGCGTGCAAAATTCTTTTTTTTTTTGAGATGGAGTTTTGCTCTTGTTACCCAGGCTGGAGTGCAATGGCGCGATCTCGGCTCACTGCAACTTCCGCCTCCCTGGGATCAGGCAATTCTCCTGGCTCAGCCTCCTGAGTAGCTGGGATTACAGGCACACGCCACCATGTCCAGCTAATTTTTTGTATTTTTAGCAGAGACGGGGTTTCACCATGTTGACCAGGATGGTCTCGATCTCTTGACCTCGTGATCCACCCGCCGTGGCCTCCCAAAGTGCTGGGATTACAGGCGTGAGCCACCGTGCCCAGCCGCAAAATTCTTATAGTGGTAGTCATGGGCAGGGGGTGGTTTGGGAAGAAAAATATTAATAATTATAACTTTTCAATATTTTATGTTGTTTGAATTTTCCAAAATGAGCATTTATGCTGATATAACTTGTATGGCTAAAAAAGGAGTTAAGGAAATATCATCAATAGAATATATCCCAAGTAAAGCGATAGAAAGACTGCATTAGCTGCTTACCTTGTTGATGTTCTCCATTTCCATCTGGCAATGTTTACAAATGCAACTTAATATTTAGACTTAACACACAAAACAAAATGTTTGACATTTTGGAAGGGGCAGGTTAGATACAGCACTTTAAGAATGACCTCACTGAATTACTCTACCTATTTGAAAATAGTTTTATGCCAAAAATATATATAAACTGACCAAGGAATCCATTCAAAAGGAAAGGCTGGAACCTGATTTTCTTGTATGTTCACGCAGTGCCCAGCGCATAGTAGCTTCTAAATAAGTACTGACTGAATAATGGATGAGTCCACAGTTTATATATTTTTAGTAGCACCTACTGATCTGAAAGCAGGAAATTAGCAAAGATAGATGTTTGAGGTTCTAAGTTGCTTTTCAAATGAGGAAGCCACGGGGTGGAGCCTAGCTCTCTTTTCTTTTACTCAGGAGGTTAAGAATTCGGCTTAACAAAAAAAGAAAGAAAAGAAAAAAGAATTCGGCTTAACAGTTTAGTGGGTTATGTTTTGGTGATCTGTGAATTGAAAAATCATTCAACTTCACACTAAAAAGGGAAAAAAAGCAAGCGTGTTGTCTGTCATTCGTTACATTATTATACGTACACTTTTTGCTCAGACCAGAGCAAAGCGCTCTGGTGCTAACGTTTCCTGGTTGGGAAACTGTCAGCACTCTCTTTGTGTCTATATTTTCATCTGGAAAAAAGGGAATAATGAGTAAACTTTTATAAAATGCTGGAAATATAGCCATTCCATGCTTGTGCAATGAATGTTTCATATAAATTCAATACTAGACGGTCAGGTCGAAATGCACTCAGATACTTAAACTGTATACAAATACAAACGTTCTCGATCCGGGGAGTCTCTTTCCCCTCTTTCATCGTCCCAGCCACACCTATGGGGCTGGTGCTGGTCCCAGCGGTCGACTCCAGCGCGGGGCAGCCAGCGGTTGGCCCTGGACGTGCCACCTACAGCCTCGCGCACCCGGGGCAATTCTATCTCGATTCTGGGGTCCTCGCGGGACATTCTTGCCTACTCTTGGGAGTCAGATCCCCAAGGCTTTTCCCGCCGGCAGAGGGAGGCGTTCAACCGGCAGACCCAGTCCGCGAAGCCGGAAGGCCCGCGGGGCCGCGGGAGAGCGGGCGGGGCGCGCGGCGGAGCGGGAAGCACAAGGCGCGCGCTCCCGCGAACGCAGAAGGGAGTTTGGGGGCACGCGCCCGCGCGCCGGGATGAGGGGCCGAGAGGCGGGGTCTTACAGCGACGGCGTGAAGAGGGCGCCCCAGAGCCGAGCCGGAGGCCGGCAGCAAGCGGGACGAGGGAGAGCGCGAGCGCAGGGGCGGGCCCCGAGGGAGGGCGGGGACGCTGAGGGGGCGGGGTCGGGCCAGGCGGGGACGCGCTCGCGGGGTGCGGAAGGCGGGGGTGCGGCGGTGGCGGGAGCGTGCCCGGTCCCCGCCCCTGTTTCCCACTCTCCTTCCACCTCCGACCGGCCGGGGCTCCGCAGAGGCGAAGCTCGCTAGTACCCGGAACCGCCCTGCTACCGCCGCCTGCTTCCTCCTCTCGCGGTGAGCCGGTCAGTCCCTGCTCTGTGCGCGCCTCCATCTGGGCCATGGATGGGTAAGTACTAGGCGTCGCGGCGGCCGCACAGGGTTGCGCTAGCGCCGCTTCCACCCGGTTCTCGGCGGGACGCGCTGGGGCTGGGGAGCAGGGCGCGGCGCCGGCGGCCGGAGGAGCGGCTCCGGCCAAGCCCGACGGCGGGGCTTCCGGGCGTCTCGGTGGGGATCCCGGAATCGCGGAGGCGCCGTCCGCCTCAGCCTATCCTTTCCCCACGCGGCGCCCCAGACACGTCCGCCCCTTCCCAGCCTTAATCGACACACCGGGGAGCGGAAGAAAGCCCGGTCCGGCTGCGTTGCCGGGGTCCGCCCTCCGCGTTCGGAGCCCGGGGAGCCCAACTCGGCCTCCCGACACTTCCTTTCAGAAAATGGTGCACGGCGCTGGGGGAGGCGGAGGCGGCGTGCGGGGCGGGCGTCCTCTCGCCGGGGGAGTTGCTGTTTACCGGCGAGGTGGGGCGAGCGGCGGAGTGGCCGACGGCGGGTGCACGCGTCGGTACAAGTCTGGGCGGCGACCTGGTCCTGAGCCACGGTTCCACGCGGGTCCCGGGGCCGCCGGCGGACTCAGCCTAGGTCTCCCGGCTTGTGCCGTGAGATACGTTAATGCTTTCTCGACACCAGGGCTCTGGACTTAGTGACCATGGACGCTTACCCCTCACCACTCTCTCTCGCCAAGAAACTTAATGAATTCTCTGCCCGTGTATGGAAAATACGGTGTACGAGCAATTTTCGGGGAGCTTTCAGATGCTTAAAAATTTAATGGGGGTCCCTTACCAAAAATAAAAAGATTTAGAATCTATGTATATAAATTATTCTCTGGAGACTCAGGAATATGGGGTAGCACTTGACATATTTTAGTAATTAAAGTAACAACTGTGTTAGGATCTTGGTAAATTAATTGAAGGTTGTAGTGTGCCTACGGATTAAAAAAAATCTCCAACTCAGTTTATTTCCTTTATGTATTTGAGGTTTTGTTTGGCTTGCTACCTCCTTTTGATGACAAGATTTCTGTAAGGTTGTAGACTATATGCAACTTGTTAGAACAGTAAAAGTCGTTTACATGTTGCCATATGGTTGATAATTGTCCTGATATTTGGAGAAGATGAAATTTTCCAGCAGGGTTTGACCTCATTAGATTTCATTTATTTTAGTTGCGCAATATTAAGTGGATATAGTATTTCTATTTGAATGCAGATTGCACACTGCTATAGCGTTTTAGAACTTATTCATGATTGTAGTGTTTTTTATTTAATGGAATATTTAAAAAGTTTCTTAAAATCATTACTCTTTGGGTATATAGTAGGTGTATATATTTTGGGGGGAATTGAAGCTGTTTTTATTGTTTTAAGTTTCTCCGAGAGCATTGTTGACGACTAATTTCACATTACCTTATTCAGTTACATTTTATATGTTGCAAAATTTTGTGATGTTAAAGATTTGTGTCATTATGCTAATATTTTGGATCAGGTAAACTATGAAATTAGTATTTCGTTATGTGTAGTTAATTGTCTGGAAGATTTGACTTAAATATGGAAGCAGGCTTTTTGTGTCGTAAAATTTATAGTTATAATAAAGAGGACCCTTGAATTTTGCGTCTTTGCTGTTAAACTCTAGGATAACTGTGAAGTGCAAACTTACACTTTTTGATAATGTTTAAGAAGTTAACTCTCCCTTCACTCTGTGGTTTTAAAGGTAGTAATGGGTTTATTAGTTTGAATATACAAGGCAATTAGACAGATACTGGAAGGTAAGTTCATTTGGAAGTTCAAGTAGGAGCATGATTTGCTCTTTGCATCAGAACCAATAATCATAGTGTTACGCAGTCTTATTTTTTATGCAGCAAGCATCTAATTACTTGTCACATTGAAATTTTAGACAAATGAATTTCAAGTTACAGAAGTTTAGAAGGAAAAATAAAAAAATCTATGTGGTTTTTAAAATAGTTTATATCATTTAGAGTCATTTATTTTTGACTTTTATGAGGTAATGATGACATAGGTTATTAACGATACGTAAAATGTATTTGTAGCTTTCTTTTAGGAGTTATGAAGAAAAACATTAATCGGAGACAGTTTCTTGGGGCTTAGAAGAGACGAGTTTTTGGATGGCAGGACTTTAAAGGGGATTTTTTACACCCTGGTCTTAAGGGATGTGGTTTAAGAATAGAGTGCATTTTTGCCTTCAGGAGGCTAATTAAATTTCTACATTTTCCAACAGCCTGAAAAAGATCCTTTTTCCTTATTTGGATAGTCAAAAAACAAACCACAAGCCACCAGTCAACCTATCTTTCTAGTTCCTCCTCAAATCCCAACTGTCTCTTGTGTGTATGTGTTCATTTCCTCCTAAGAGATAATTTATACTTAAACACAGTTTTGACGTGATAGAATATTTTTAAAAAGCAAATCTTTGAAAAATTTGATGTCTGAAACGTAATGTTTGTATTTATTTTAGTTCCAAGAGACTGTCTCAACTGTATTTTGGTGAGCAGTTTTGGGTGGTAAATGCAGATTTGCAAGATGCCTTCTATTTCTGAAAAATCCAAGCACTGGTTTTGTTTCGATTAAAACCTCAGACACGATTATTCATGCCAGTGACTTAAAAGAACAAACTTTGGTGATTTTTAAGTTTTGGTTTGGCTTTATTAAACAGTGGTAAATGGATAAGCACTCATTTTTATTGAAGTATGACTATACTTCCAAAACACTAAAAGATAACTTCGGGTTTGTTTCTTGTATTGGTAGTAAGACTTTGCTTTTATACTCTGCTGTTGCTGGACTGTCTCTCATCATTTTTCTTTGTATTAGTATTTCACAACTCATCACATTTTATTTTTATTATTTGTTATTATAATGCTTTTTTCCCCTTTATTCTTACTATCTCTGTCTTTTAAAAACTTGTTCTCTAACTTTGTGTTCCATTTTCTCTTTTTACTTTTTCCATACAGTGTTGTTACAGATCTTATAACAGTCGGTTTAAAGGTAGGAATCTTTTACTATCCTTTCATACACATTTTTATATCTTACTTTTGGCATATTTTCAATCCCATCTGTTCATAAAATTATCTGCTTTACTGTATGGTAATACTCTTTCATTTTTACTTAGCTCCAAAATAAGTAGACCTCTAGGTAATTTTGGATTTTACATTTTTATAAGGAGGAACTATATAGTATTATGTATATGAAGTGTGAACAAAAAAATTTAGCCCAAAGTTTCACTTTAATTATCAGGATGCTTTTTGTTTGCTTTGTTTTAGCAGTTAAATGTAGCCTCAGGCCAGGTGTGGTGGCTCACACCTATAATCCCAGCAGTTTGGGAACCTGAGGTGGGCGGATTGCTTGAGCCCAGGAATTTGAGACCAGCCTGGGGAACACGGTGAAACCTTGCCGCTATTTAAAAAAATAAGAAAAATTAGCTGGGCATGATGGTGTGTGCCTGTAGTCCCAGCTACTTGGGAGGCTAGCTGGGAGAATCACTTGAGCCTGGGAAATCAAGGCTGCAGTGAGTGTGATTGTGTCACTTCACTCAGCCTGGGCAATAGGAGTGAAACCCTGTCTCAAAAAAAAATGTAGCCTAGGCTCTGATTTATCTTCTTACCATGTCCTTTATTTTATCCTCTTTCATGGATGTGTTTATGAGAATAATCTAAGTAGCTGATACTTCTTTATTCAGTGCCTATTAGGTGTCAGGTTCTTTACGTGTATTTTCACTAATCATTATAGCAATCCTTCAAGGTAGGTAATCAGTATTCCCATTTTAGAGGTGAAAAATAGATTTAGAAAGTGTCGGCCAGGCGCGGTGGCTCATGCCTGTAATCCATGTACTTTGGAGGCCAAGGTGGGCGGATCACCTGAGGACGGGAGTTCAAGACCAGCCTGACCAACATGGTGAAAACTCGTCTTTATTTAAAAAAAAAAAAAGAAAGAAAGAAAATGTCCAAGATGTGGTGCACTAGTGTTCATACCCTTGTCTTCCGGGTCCCAAAACCTGGCTTTTATTTATTTATTTATTTTTTATTCCTAGCTGTCAGCAATGAGAGTTCTGTCTAAAAGGCAAACATTCTGAGAGCTGGATAATCAGTATTTTCTAATAATGATTCTTCTAGGTTAGAAATCATTTCAGTTTTGTCAGAGTCGTTTCATTTATTGGATTTTTTATTTTTTGAGGTGGAGTCTCCCTCTGTCTCCCAGGCTGTGGGGTGCAGTGGCCCAATCTCAGCTCACTGCAACTTCCACCTTCTGGGTTCAAGTGATTCTCCTGCCTCAACCTTCTGAGTAGCTAGTATTACATATTAATACTAGCTACAACCTCCTGAGTAGCTAGTATTACGCCACCATGCCTGGCTAATTTTTTGCATTTTTAGTGGAGACGTGGTTTCACCATGTTGTCTAGGCTTGTCTTCAACTTCTGACCTCAGGTTATCTGTCCTCCTGGGCCTACCATAGTGCTGGAATTACAGGCAGGAGCTACTGTGCCCAGCCCATTCGTTGGATTTTTAAGTATAAATTAAGTAAACAGTGCTCATCTATATGAGACTTAAAATATCTGGGTGTTTTAAAGGTTCCTTTACTAATTTAATATTTGATATAGCTGAGTTGAGAATCTAGTTCTAGAAGCCACTTATAGTTCAGATTATTGTAGAAAGAAAGAATTCATCTTTGTATGTATTTTACACATTATAGATTGACTTATGTAAATATGTTCCACCACTTTGGGTCCATCTGTGTTCATCATCTCTTCTTGCTAGCAAATTTCAGTGCTCCTGCTTTGTTTGCATTTGTTGATGTGACAGTGGCGTTCATTCATGGTTTTTTTGTTGTTTGTTTGTTTTTAACTCTGTCACCCAGGCTGGAGTGTAGCGGTGGTATGATCCTAGTTAATTGCAGCCTCAAACTCCTGAGCTCAAACTGTCCTTTTTGCCTCAGCCTCCAAGGTATCTAGTAAATCTACAAGCGTGTACCACCATGCCCAGCTGGGATTTTGCTGTGTTGCCCAGGCTGGTCTCAAACT